TAGAAACAATGGGCAGGACTTGCTTAAGGCAAAGACAAGCCTTTTTCTAAAGAAGTTATGTGCCTGGGGCATAACTATCCACCATGACGGGCCCAGTTGGGAGGATCACCCTGTGAGGTTACTTTCCATAGCTCCCCCTTTTTCATGCACTGGAAGTTTCCTAGTTTGTAGTCATGAAGAGCTCCTCCTTCCAGCTGAGTAGGGAAAGAGACATAATGTCCACAGAATCGGTGGTATTTGCTCTATAGAAAAGCTTCATGCCTTCCCTTCCAACAAGTGTGTCTTACCTGAGTGCAGCATTCATCTCCCTGGTCACCTAGCACCTGCTCTAATAAATGGAAGAGGGCGATAAAGAATCCAAATGAACAAGTTTGAAACCTGAGCTCAAGCCAATCCCTCTGCCTCCAGGAGATATTATGGATAATGCAGATAAATAAAAAGAAGCAAAAATGTAGGGCATGCCGAGTTTGTGGGTGTGGGAACTCTACCTCCACCTTAGGCTGCAAGGCTGTGCTAGTTAAAGGTAGCAGTAGGCCCCTAGCTGGTTTGGCTCAGGGGATAGAGCGTCGGCCTGCGGACTGAAAGGGGTTTTATTCCAGTCAAAAGGCACGTTGCCAGCGTGGGGTGTGTTGGAGGGAGCCCATCAATGATCCTCTCTCATCATTGATGTTTCTATCTCTCTCTCCCTTCCTTTCTGAAATCAGTAAAAATATATTTAAAAAATTATAAAAGTAGCAGTTGGAACAACATCTGGATCCAAGAGGATTCTGTCTGTAAAAAACACCCTTAGTTGAAGTCCATGTAAAATAGGAAAAGGGTGAACTTTCAGCTTAGGGCATAATCCTTAGGGGGAAAAAAGGCTGGCCTGGAAAATGGACCAAAGACCCTGATTGAAGTTCTGTAAAACTAGGTCCCGGGAAGAGCTCTGTTCCTATAATTGAGTAGCTGTGACATTGGGTGGAGATGAAATAGAAAGATTGTGTGTGTGTGTGTGTGTGTATTCTGTCACACACAAATATAAATGCACATGCATTTATACACACACACACATAAATACACATATGTTTCAAGATTATACCTACAAAAATAATTCCAATAAATCAGCAGCCAGTTACTTCTTGACTTTTGGACAAGTTTTAGCACAGGATACCGAGAGGGGAAGGAAAGGTTTTGCAATTCTTTAGTTGAAATTTGACTCAGCCAATTTAATTTCTCTTTTCCGTGTTGCCTTTTATCTTCCTTCTCTAGATCGAGCTTGGGAAATGGCGAACCTTTTTTCACGAGCGCAAACACAAGTGATTTGGTTCCCTAGATTGTGTCATGGTATGACGCGTAAAGGAGATAGAAATGCCGGGAAACCTCCCCAGTGGCTGGAAGGCAGAGTGCAATGGGGAACTTTTCAGGATCCACGTTGTGGCAGAGCTTAGAGCAGGGGGAACAGGAACGGCATTTGGTCGTTCTCAAACATCCAAGAGAAGAAAATGGCTTTTTTTTTTTTTAAAAAAAAGCAGAGCAGTGTCTGCACCATAGTAAGGAAGGGGCAAAATAAATAACTGCTGTTGTGTAAGATACAGGAGTGGAATGACTTATGGAGAAGGAGAGGTCTTTACAAGATTGCACCAGACTGGGAAAGGCTGTTTTTAAAATGAACTGCGAGTGCCAAGTGATAATGAAAAACATCTGTGCATCTTTTCCCAAATAACGGATAAATAAACTAGAAATTGAACAGAGAGCAGAGACCTTGTCCATTACACCCTGTGGGGAGCTGCTGTTTTATCTATATATTTTTCTCCAGTCCATTGGAGGGAAGTAGATTCTTTGGGTGCCATCTAGTGATTAAGTGGAAGAAGGCAACTAAAAGAATTTGGTCCTCCCTCCCTCCCTCCCTCCCTCCCTCCCTCCCTCCCTCCCTCCCTCTCTTTCTTTCTTTTTCTTTAAAAATATATTTTATTGATTTTTTTTTACAGAGAAGAAGGGAGAGAAAGTTAGAAACATCGATGAGAGAGAAATATCGATCAGCTGCCTCCTGCACACTCCCTACTGGGGATGTGCCTGCAACCAAGGTACATGCCCTTGACCTGAATCAAACCTGGGACCCTTGAGTCCGCAGGCCGACGCTCCATCCACTGAGCCAAACCGGTCAGGGCTAATGTGTATATCTTAATACCTACAATCTTATCCCTGTGTTTCTAGCTCAGAAAAAGTCACACAGGTTCAAAAGAAAACAAGTGAGATATTTCTTTTAATATGTTACCTAACATGGT